TTTTACGCCCGGTGCCGAGAACTATCTTGTCACTCAACCGCGCGCTCATATATTCCTCGAACGTCTTTCGAGAGTACTCGCAAGTGCTTCGTATACTATCTATTCGCGGAAGCTGGCGCGAGATTCGCACATAGCAGCACGCCAATAAAACGCATGAACCTTTTTACGAGTTGCGACGCGATAAGTTGCAATAACCGTGTTTCCGAGGGATGGGATCAAGTGCAATATGTATGTTATGTACTTGCGAATTCCAGCCAAGTTCGATCGTAGGTTTCCAATGCTACATACTCGAAAGTAAAAATGTTTCGGTGAACACATTTGCGATGTACGCACTTTGTACAAGTCGACTTTGAACCCTAGAACGAGTATTTGTCAGATTTGAAAACATCTGATGCAAACGCAACATTTGACAATCGTGTAGAGAAAAATGCTTCGTTCGACTAAATTTCAATCACACTAAAAATCGTTTGCCTGTAACACTCGAAAATTAGCAGATAATAGCAAATTATCTACTATATATTTTTTCATTATAATACATATAGACATTACCAATTAAGAATATTATTCTTGGACGAATGTATTTTAAAGTTTTGACCGTAGTATTCTCAGATAAATTTTTTATTATAATATAATATCATTACTTTATTATATCATCGTAGGACAACCGTTACATTTAACCTCGTTTTATACACGTACATATGTAATAGATCCCATAAATCGTAAATATTGTTTGCGTTGAAATTCGCGATTATTTATATTATACTATCCCCCATAACAAATAAATTCTTATTTATTTAAAGAAATAAGTGCTTCGCAGATTCACAATCGAGCAGATACTTATAAACACGAAGATCCTACTGTATTATTTTCATTGAAACACATTTCAATTTTGTCCTCCTTAGATTCAACTATGCAGAAAAAGGTTCGAATCCAACGACCAAAGTTTTCAAAGTTACCAATTTATGAGATACTCTAAGATCTCTAATGTTTTGTCTGAGCCCGTTTCGCGTCAGTTCGTCGGTGTCCCGCGAAGATCCACACACGTATCGATCCAGCCGGATAAACCGAAAAGACAAACGTCAAGCGATTAGAACGCGCGCGTATCCCAAACGTAACTTTCGTTAAGTTAGGCAGCAAGGAGAAGCACAAACGCCTAGGACGGCTGATTAAACCATGGATTTTATGGGCATTACGCGTCTCAGCGAAATACCTTCCAGTGCATAAGTGTACACGCGAACACACACACACATACACATACACACACGCGCGCGTCCCGGAGCAATCTATTTACATGCATAAATATATACGTGTATTATGCATAACGCGTGTATCGCGCGATTTTCGTCCTCGCGCGTTGCCTCGCGCCCAATTTCCACAGCCAACCTTTTCGCCCGCTCGACGAAAGCTCCGACCGAGCTTTTCTCAAACTTCCTCGAGAAAGTTTCGCTGAAGGGAGGGGAAAAAGAGACAACGATCGTACGCCGAAATATTCGGAACCACGGTTCCAACGAGCATCCTCTCGCCGATCTGCAGCCCGGCAACCTGCCTCGAAAACTTTCGACAAAGTAACGCATTTCGAATGACGACAATGACGACGATGGCAACGACGAAGTTGAAGCCGAATGAAATTGATGTCGACGTTGAACGCGAATGGCAAGCGTGTACACGTACACGCGTGAATTGAATAAAACAATGGATACATATCGCGATAAAAAATCGTGACGTCTGACACAGATTCTACATTCTTGTGAGAATGGAATTACACAAATCCTGAAATGATTTTCCTGGTGGTTGAAGAAAATGGATGAAACATTTTCCTTCAAAATCTTCCTCTGTCACTCAAAATTAAATTACGGAATAATTACATATTGTTAAATAAGTATACTCGATCTCGTGTGAATCGTTCCTCGTTGTAGAAAATACGGAATTATTTCGCACAGTTGACTCGAGTTTCTTTCACAGTTGCGAATACTTTTCATTCGTCTGTGACAAGAACTTCTCGTAGAGTACAAGTAAACTTCAAAGAGAGAAACATTCGCGATATTGAAGAATGATTTGAACTATTTCAAAACATCTCTATTATATTAATAACATTTGTAACAAAGCCTACGGGGTTAACATATGTTTACTCGGATCCCATTTGTCCGGAACACCCTGCACCTACGTCGTAGATCCTGCAAAAATGGCAAGTGTCCGCCGCGTACTTTCGAGCGGCAGTGTAGCTACTTCTCCCGAGTTAAGAATTAAAAACGTTCGTCACGGGGAGGCTAACGAGCGTGCCGGGCGCCCGGCTCTGTCCCACTTAAACTGCCGTGCAGTGGAGCACAGCTGGCCGAGCCGCGCGCGCTAGAAGAATACAGTTTTGTTAATTATCCGACGAAAACAGCAGGCCGGCTCCCACGCTCGGCCACTATCAACTAAAACGTCACGTGCGAGGAAGCCGGGCGAGCCCGGGAACGCGAACCAAGAATTAACCTGCAAGATTCCTCGTTCCCTTTTATTCCGGCCAGCGAACCTACACCCCCTCCGTCGTAATATAAGTCTCGAGTTTCGATCTCGAATATTCGATCTCTCCTTCTTCCCTCGGCTGTTCCACAGATGGATTACGTGACTTACGTAGCAACGTATTAAGATAAAACTGCCGTGGCCTCGTCCCACCCGATGCACGAGCTACTTTTAACGTAAACGGTTTTCCCTCTAATTTTTCGCCGAACAAACATTTGAATCGAGGTCCACGGTCAACAAAAATTCGCGGGAAAAGCGTTTGCGGAAGCTGTTTCCTCGGACCTGTGTACGGCCACGGTTTACCGCGACAGAAGGGGCGGGGAAAAAAAATGGAGGATGGCAAATAGTGAGGAAGAGTCTTGTGAAACGAGTCTTTGCCGCGCTGTGTCACAGGATACACAGTTGAACTTCCCTCCGTAACAGCAAGTTACGTTGGTTTATTTATCGGGCCAGAAGATATTATTCATTAATTGTGACTGTTTGCTTCAAGTTGCTGGCAACCAGCGGGTGTATTTACTGTGTTTGATGCGGGAGAACGTTTCAGGCTCAAATTTGTCAATACCTGACTCAATTTTATTATTTTTCATCAATTTTTTATATATTACGTAACTTGATTATATTAATACGTAACTCAGAAACTATTATATTTTTTAATATAACAAACTTCTCTGGTGTATACGTAAGAAATATTTTACACTTGAATATAACCCTCCTTGCATCCAACAAGTTACTGCATGTAAATCATTCCGTGTTTTTTGTAATCGTATATTAATAAACTACATCAGTGTGCCAATAATGTAAAATGTTCAATACTGTGTAACTGCGTTTCACAATGGTGTGTAATTGCATCTCAATGAGATTGATTCACGTTTCTCCGATCCTTGGTCCGCGAATGAGTGACAAATATTCTTGGCCAGGAGAAATAGTCAAAACGGCAAAGAAAAAAAGGGAGTGAACAAAGTCAACCTCTTAATTGGACACTTCTTTTAATTAGGTAGTCACACGGAACTTGTTATCCGAGGCATGGTTCTGGACAAAGTGCCTTTCTAATTGAAGTTTCCCTAGAGACAACAGTTCGGTAACTGGTTCAATTAAGAAAAATCGTAACGAACGATACTCGTAAAACATCCATCGCTCGCTTACTACAACTGCCTTTCGATCCCCCACCCCTTTTCCTGTATAAATTTTTCGTCGTGCTCGTCGCCGTCAGTCAAGTTAATCCGTAAATTTTTTTCAACGAGAAGTCGGTCTTCAAAGCGCGTTTCCGAAAGAGAGAGAGAGAGAGAGAGATTTTCCATTGAAAATTTCATCACCGGACCCCTCGTGAAAACGTTTTCGCGTTCGCACAAAGAACTATAACGTAATCTGATCTTATTAAACTCTGTGATTAGTGTGCATCAAATTAGTCGGGCTCTGATTTTTCCAAACGATAATAACAAGTAAACAGTTAGTAAATAATTTAGAAAAGCAATCACAAAGCAAACTGTAATTAATAAAAACCGCATTACTCAGGGGACCAGTTTGTTCAGCGTCTGTTCAGCATGAGAAGAAAATTAACGAAACACGACGCAGTCGAATTACGCGGGTCAATTGTTTTTCGAAAAGCTCGTTTCATAATGATTATTATCGCGGCGCAGTTTCCAGCGTGTTGCGGTTACCTGTTTATTAATGTATAGATACATTACGATTCATTCGCTGGTCGAACAACGATCGTGCTATTATTACAAGGTCTATGCATCGTTTAATTATGACCGCGATAATTTTAAATAAATTACCGTTGTTCATTTGTCAATCCCCAGTTCCTCGTAAATTTCATCGAGCCCGGAGACTGAAGCGGCGCGAAACGCGCGGAATTCGTTAATTACGTGGGTCGTTTAAACGGCGCGCCGCAGCGTATATCCCGTCCCTGTTCTGTCTCGACGCAATGATTTCACTAACTAGCGACGACATTTGACACTTCGAGTCCGTGTTTGTCCGTGACAAGTTCGAGTCGCTTCGAACGTGATTCGGAATTTATAATAAAACACTTCAAAGTCTCTCGACTTGCGTCTTGGAAGCGTTTTAAAAGTTTTAAAAGTCTCGAAAGTCTCGAGAGCTAGAGGCTGCTCCGCGATCGGTGTAAGATAAACTTGCGCGATTTAATGGGAAATTTCAAAAAGAATTTTAAACGCGGATTAATTTATTTATCGCTCGAACGTGGCATCGAAATTAATTGAATGATAATATTTTTATTTGCCAACGATTAATATTCACGAGCAGATGAGCAAATGTCTCGAGGACCTACTTGACCGGTAATGTGATTGAGAATGATTCAAAACCAGGTAAGAGAACGAGATCACAACTAGGAAACGAGAATTTCTCTTATTTTTCAACGATGCGAAATGAACGATTGTCCCGTGTCCTCTCTTTCTTCCTCTACACAAATTCGAAGCTTAAAAAAGTCTGTCTGAAATCCCGTGACTGGCTCTAATCTTCGATTTACGTCTCTGTTCAAGGGCAAGACGCCGGGATCGTGCTGTCACCCCTCATCGGTGTGGTGGTCGGCACGTTGGTTACACTGGTGCTGATCATTCTCGTGGTGGTGGTGCGCGTACGTCGCGAACGAGTGTCGAAGCCGCGACACGAGAAACCGGCGGAGCTGAGCGAGCTGCCACCGCAGCAGTATCCGCTGCAGAATCCTCAACAAGCCGTGGAGACCGATCCGGACGTTATCCCGAATAAATTCGGTAAGTTTTCTGGAGATCGAAAAAAAAAAAACAGATCGACTTCGAAAGCAGCAGGGTCCATCGTTGCCTGGGAACAACAACGATGATGATGAACGAGCCGATCGGGCGAGCGCGGTCACCTCCCCGGCCTGGATTTTCCAAATAATGGCCAGGAAACGTTCTCGCAACGCGCGCAGTTAATCTAATTGCGCGCCGGTTACCGAACACCGGCCGCGATTTGTAATAGCAGCGTGTATAGATTTTATTCAATTACCGCGGCTTACACGACTGCCGGGCCACGCCGGCCCGGTATTTCATCCGCCAAACAAAAGAGAGACCCGATTCAATGCGCCAGATATTTTCCGAAAAAACATTTTCCATTCGCTGGTGCCGATAAAGCCGCCGCGCGCGCGATTGCGATCGACTCGATCGGTGTTTCCGCCCGTTCTTTTTTTTTTTTTTTCCCCAAATTCCACCGCCGCGATTAGGGTAGGCTGATTTGTCCAGTGAATGGTTAAAATTACAGTGATCGCCGGCCATTGGAAATCAGGGCTTAAAATGTTCAATGTTTTGCAAAACATTGAAACTTTTGGTAAAAATCGGAGGATTTAAAAATCGAAATTTAATTTTTTGTTTTTTTTATCAACCGTTCAAGGTATCAATGTACATTAATAAATGCACGGTATATAATTGCTTGTTACGAAAACGATAAAATTATTGCACGTGAAATTTAGATCTTTAAAAGTGTTTTATAAGAAAAGTTTTAAAAAAAAAAGAGAAACATTATACGCGAAGTATATACCGGAAATGATATTACCGTAATGAATGCAAAACGAGGAAACACGAATTACCAATGTGTATATTTGCGATACTATGTGTATTTAATTTACACTCGCGCAGTGCATGTATCATCATTAATCAAATATATTATTAAATTACGTTCGTATCCTTCCCCAATTTTATTAAAAACATTCAGTTGTTGAAAACTGAATTCAATTACCAAAGACAGTAGCATATTCATCAACTCTGAATGCCACGAACATTGCTACAATAGCGTGATTGTCATCATTGAACTCGACGACTCTAAATTTCTCTAATTAGAATAGATTGGTACTCCCCATTCAATGCATGAACATCCAACAAAATCGACCAATCGTTGGAAATGTATTGTTCATATTTTTCGTCGAAGAAACATTTAAATAAAGTAGTTACAAGGCCATTAAACATGTCGTAAGTGTTAGATAATAAAACTTAGTTTGAACTCGCATCTCGAGAACAACTGTTGAGTAGAAGAAACGCAGATTATGAGTAAGAGGGAGAAGAATTTTGTGAGAAACTTGTGGAGTTACTATATGAATTTCAACTCGTGAAGGAATCGTGACAAATGTTAATTTTACGAGCAATTGTACGTTCACTGGACAAGTCACTCCGTGCACTGGTAGAACAAACGTCAATCGATTACTCTCTTTCTTTCTTCATCATCGGGTGAAACGTCGACTTTTTAGCCATAATTTTAAATACATGAAAACTTGGTTAAAGTATTCCTGCTGCTAGGAAAACTCTTGCCCCGCGACTCCATTAAGACACATTAACGTGGTAACGGGAGATTGTAAAAAATGCACAGGCGGTAAGAAGAAAGTCGTTTAACGCGACCGGAGCAGCCTTGTTACTAAAGAACGAAACCAAACGACCTGCCAACCTAGAACAGCTTTTACTCCAACTCTTTCGCTATGACGCGAACGATCCTCTGCAGCTGAACGAGGCAACCTGTCGAAGCTGTGTATTTTTTATGCCCGATCAGTCTTCGACGCTTAACTTCCTGCACTTGTAGACTGCGAATTTTTATGAAATATTTGAAAAAATAGACTAAAAAATAGAAAATTGTTTTATGTATAATATATCATTATACATACTGTACTATACGTACTATACTTTGGATATTTTATACATTGTGTTTCGTACGAAACGTATAAAAATCCACAGTCTACTTACAAGGATTGCTTCGTCGACAAAATATTGATATATTGATTGAATGCTTACTATTTCTGTAAATGATGCTATACATCCAACGAATCCAGTACATGAACAGCATTTTCGTCGATACTTAGCCATTGAATTAGGACCATTTTAAATTTCCAGCATCTTATTCTATCATATTCTTGATAAAATTGATATATCCAGCCGTGATTAAATAACAATTTTGCCTAACTATTAACGCGCAGTATTGCACTGATACTTTTCTCTTTTGCTTTCATTGCACAACATGCTTTATCTTTTCGTAGCACAAGACCAATGATACACTTATAAAGATTCAAATATATACGTAGTGTGTTTTCTCTATTGCCTACGTTTTGCATATTCACTTTGATGTAATCGTTATTGATCATCCACAACTCGATGCACAACTGCTCGTCACGCGCGGCAATTTCATCGCTTGCATAATAAATTACTACTCGCTGGTGGTAAATAATAAACTACAACCTATAACAATAAACGTAAATCATTAACAAAGAGAATAGAATTTGTAATTAAATTTGAAATTCAAACTCGGCGATTTTATTCAGCTCGCGTGAAATGTCGAAACTTCTAAAAATGGTCCTAATTCTACGGTGCGAGAAAGAATAGTACGCTGTATCTATCGGCGAATAAGAGAATATGAGAAAAATTAAATCCTCGGTTCGCAACGAATCCCAAAGAATTGTGTTCGGTCCGATGTTGCAGAGGGAAACCTGGTGGAAGTGAGCCCGCCGAGTTATCCAGGTGGATATCCCCCGGGACACTGGGTGACGCCCGGACCTACGCCAAGCATAGACGAGCTCTGCCACAAATTCACCGGAAGACCGACGGAGCTGAGGTTACCATCGAGAAGCGCGATACCGAGTTTACAGAGCATGCCCATGACGGGAGTGATGATGGGCGGCGGACAGAGCGTCGTGGTCAGCGGAAGTCAGGGCGGCGGTATGGCGCTCGGTGGCAACAGCCAGGGTGTCGTCGTCGGTGCCGGGCAAGGCGTCGTCGTCGCTGGCGAGTGCTTGGACGGCGAGGCGATCAAGAGACGACTGATGGCCAACAGGCTTCCGGAGAGCTGCGTCTAAGACTTTAACCGACCCGCCGTGTTCGACCACCGTGTAATCGTTCAACGACCTAAGAAAATGAAAAGAAGTAACCATCGTCGCGACGGCTGGACACTGACCACTAAAATGCGACGTTGATTTATCGATGTAACACGAATTCTCGCGCTAGGAAACGATTCAACAACGAGATTCGTACGAAAGCTGCATAAAAAGACAATCCAGCGTGTCGTCGTTGCGAGCAACGATAAGCCAAGAGATGGATAGAAAACGTGCGAAACGTGCGAAACGTGCGAAACGTGCGAAACCGGAGCCTCAGGACTCGTCCGGGGAAACTTTCCAATCGCGGAACACCGTACTCGACCGTATTCGAAATTGTTTTGTAAATGTTTCCTCGATGGTCGGGCAATATTTGTTCCGTTTGTTGTTTCCTGTCTTTCTCTTTTCTCCTCTCTTCCAGGGAAGAAACGGAGGACACAGGGGCGAAAGAAAATGGACAGAATGGGAAGAGAAGTAGAAGAATCGATGCTGGGAAAGAGTTGGGTGAAAACTTGCCGCTCTCGAGTTCTCCACCTGGGCTAGAGAGATGTTCCAGAAGTAGTCTCCTTTCGTCTTCGAACGTCGGCACAACTTTCCCCTATCCCTGCTCCCGTCGCGCGACTCCGAGCCCAATGATCTTCGACGCTGTCTTCTCGCATATTTCTTACCGCGCTACGTGATTCACCGCCTCCACGAGGACGCGTGCGACCGTCCGCGAGAATTTTCCCCGGTACAAATTGCGAACAAATGACGGCAGTTTCGTGCAACGTGTCGAGGAAACGCGAGTCTCTATCTGAAAACCGCCTCCAAACTTTGTTTCCCTCCGCCAAAATAAGGCACGCGTTAACGTGTTCGAGACTAGACTTTGAAAAGATTGTTCTCAAGATAGTCGACGATACTTTTCCCAATGGCAATCAAACTCGTGCTGAAGTACTTAATATCTGTGATTGATTGATGTTTCTATCTATCTATATTTATATTGTTTGTAGTATATTCATTTATTTATTTTTGGGTGATGTTAAAATCAATTGTCATCACGAAGGAGTCTATTTTACATTTGGCTTCATAGAATGATCTTTTTCTGCTGCTAATCGAAAAACTAACGTTGCATCTTTGACTATTGAGTAGATATAAACTAAATGATCTCGAATGTGTTAACGCTCGAATCGAGTGCGAGATGTTGGATCTACAACGAAATTTTAACCTTTCTCCAAATATTTACAAAAGGATACATCAATTCCAATAATCTTAAAATATATTGTACAACTTGGAAAACAAAAAAGTATGTTATAAATTCGGACTGGTCTAAGCAGAATGAATCAGATGATAAAAAAAAAAATGGAAATTACAATTTACATGGAATTTTATGCTGATAATTGAACTGCAAATTTTTCTGTGTAAATTTGTATTTTTGAAAAAATAATCAAACAATGTAGTAAAAAATTATTCTACGTACAAAATATTATTAAAAACGTTATACCTCGAGTATTTTACATATATTTCCAAATTATGTGTATTCTGTATAATTCTACATCTTAAGATTCTCTATAAATCCGAATTGTAGTAATAGTACAGAAAATGACATATTTCACTAACTTGACTGATTTTGCAAAAAAAACTTTTCGTTTCGTCGGCAGCTTCGTAATTGCACAAATTGTACGCTATAAAATTCCATGTAAACTTGTTTACCTAGTTAAATATGAAACCTAGTCAAAGTCTAAAAATTACATCAATTACAACTCGAAATCTAAGCGTGCAGGGAAAAATTGCTAGCAATTAATTTATTTCAAGATCACACAAATACTTTTGCAAACAATTTTAGTCACAAATTCAGTTCACCATCACTGCCGAGGCGAATATCAACGCGTTTCAAAAAAGGACTCGGAGTCCAGCGACCATGCCAGGACCACCACGCCGCGGAATCGAAATCGTCCGACCTATCTACCCCCGCCGATCGAATTCTCTCCAGACGTCAGTGGCATTAGGCCGAGTAAACGCGAGAAAAGATAAAAGGTTCCCGAACAACCCCTCTTCCGGTCGGCCGAAATGAAGATGGATGGAGGAACTCGCGCGAGAATGTACGATGGAAACCTGGCGAAAGGGAAGAAAGGAAAGGAAGACACTGGGGAGAATGGAAAGATAATGCGATGTTACTTTGCCGAGTTGAGGGAAAGGGGCGCCGCGAAGCGCCGTATCGAAGCTGATCAATCAGCTTCAACGACGGAGAACATATTCCGGGGTGGGAATGGGTTTGTACGAAACAGCATTTTGCACGTTGCAACGTTGTCGACGTTGTGTTCGTTTGATTATTTCGTCCGTGATCGTTTTATATTCGTTTCCTATTCGTTCCTTGAATTCCGTGTGATTCTCGGGAATCCTTTTTCATATTCGGTGGAATTGGAAGGGGCCTTGGTGCAAAAATTGCGCGAGTCCAAAATTTGATAGTTGTGACAAATTTAGAAGACTAGAATCATATACAGCCTGTTTAAACAATCGCAGTGATATTTTTGGATTTACTGACTTTTTGAAAAGACGTTGTACAATTTTGTCGGCTTGAGCAAATTTGTTATTTAGAATACAAATGAATCATATTTTGCGACAAATTAAAATTATTTACTTTCGTTTTTAATAGAAAAAAAAAAACATTGATACTGTAATTAGCATGTCCGGATGAAAACTAACAAGATATATAGTTTACACAAAAGAGACATAACAAATGAGAAAATTAATTCGTATGCCTTTTCTCTTTAATTTTCCAAATCGTAAATATTTTCACACTTAAAGCATCTATAATGAAAGTCAATGACTGAAATATATTTGTGACTTTATATATAATATATTTATTCACTCATAGCTTTTCGAAATAATTCTTTTCTCGTCTTTTAAAGAATTGTCATTCTATTTACTATTGACATCCTGTCACTTTTTTCTTTTCTAAATCATAGGCATTTTTTTGTTAATTTGTAATGACATTATTACGGTCGAACTATACTAAAAATGTTATTGTCTTAAAATTTCAACAGCTACACAGATACAATTTTACCAACAACTAAACTTGACCGATTTTTGCATCAATTAGAGACTAATACCTTCCTCCATTTTTTTTCCCCTAGAGATAAAATGTATTAAGCATAAACCGACAATAAATAATGAGAGTGTTCAAGAAAATTCGAGTTCGTTCGATTATATCACTTATAATTTCTCTTTATTTGTTTCTCAAATTCTCGCGAAATCCCGTCACGAATCGCGGCGTCATTCTTGGCATTCGCTAGAACGAAGAGAGTAAAACAGAAATCGACAATAAAATCGACGTGGCACGATGCGAGAATGGATACGAAAGACGTCGCGCGGCGTTCGATTTTTTTTTTTTTTTTTTTTTTTTCATCCACGATCACGGAGCGAAATTCTTTCCTTTCCTTCGTCTTCTTCGATCGTTTCTCAAATTTTCACGAAATCCCGTACGAACGAGGCATCGCCATCGTTTCGCCACTCGGTGGAATTAGAGACGACGTTTGATTCAACGAATACCGCTCTCTTCTGTCTTTCTAGGCGAAGGGGATAAAACGCGTTAAGCAAGAATCGACAATAAGCGGTGTGCGCGTGTGTGTGAGATCGAGGAATAGAAACTCCAAGTGGCAACTGCGCCGTGTTCCACGCGATTGAACAATTACGATTGTATCGCGGCATCTATGAAATCGAACTTGGAAAGGAGAACAGTCGACGAATACGAGGTAGTTCCCACGCGCGTGCTGAGGTCCCGAAATTTCGTTCCATCGTCGATGTGTTCCAACGCTCGAGTCGAAACGACTCGACTCTTGTAAATACGCGCGTAAATACGTTTCTAGCGAAAAACCGAACCGGCGTCCAACACGACGAAAGAGAAAGGAAACGACCGCAGCCTCGGTTCGACTGTTCTCCCTGTGTTTTGTTCGATTCTCTTAACGAACCGTGGGGTGGCCGAGGATGAAACGGTGACGGAGGGACTCGAGGAGAGGTACTCCTTTGGTACTCGGGGTGAAAGATTGAATTTGTAAGGTCAGAAAAACCGGGCTTCCACGCGACACTTCGCGACGAAGTCATGAAGCTTGACGGCGAAACTAGAAGTAAAAAGTGACAAAGTGTATTCCCCCAGAGAGAATGAGGTGACGCGAGCTCCGTCGCGAGGCTCTCGGATCGTATATATACAATATACATATACTTCGAACGTTGTTCGAGGTTTGAAGAAAAGAAGGAGAAGGAAACGAGTGAGGAAAAGATGGATAAGTGTTAAGTTTATCGTACGCGCGACGCGTCCGATCGCGATCCGGATGATCGATAACGTCGAACCGAACCGTTTTTTTTTTCGATGTATCAAGCGAGAGAGAGAGAGAGAAAAAAAGAAATAACGAAACAAGTCTAAGAAAACAAAAAACCAAAAAAAATAAATAAATAAATAAATAAATAAATAAATAAAAAAGATAACTAAAAATCGTTGCTCGTTAGTTAATGTCGTCGTATTGTTGTACATAAATATGTATCGTTGAAGAAATTCCCGTGCGTGGGGGAACTTGCGAGCTCGCGTGGACGATCGCACGAACGTTCGTCGATTGAATTTTCGATATCTTCGATTGACATACGCGCGCGATCGATGGAAGATCGGTGAATGAGTCGAGAAAGACAGAAACGAAGCGATACGAGAGAAATGCATGCGACTCGTGTATCGTCGTTCGCGGAACGTTCGTCGATTTTTCAACGTTCGAACTTTCTCGAAACGTTCGACGAACAACGATCTCTGTTTAATTAGAATTAACGCGCAGAATCCTCGCCGCAAAGCGTAGAATTAGCACGCGCCTCGGGAATCAAATCGAATCGAAACGTCTTTTTTCTATCGAACACTTCCTCTATCGAAAGAGGGAATCACCGTAACGACCAATTATCGTCGTCGCATCGCCAACTGAATTGCGACGTTCCCGTGTGGATACCACCGTGATCACTCGCTCTTTTTTCACGTCCATTGAAAATTAGCCTAAATACGTATAACCGGATGTCATGATCTGGCGAATCTGGAGGAATATTGTTCAGCGTAACTGCCACGCACACAAGCCGAGAATCTACGCGCAGACGTATTTGTGCAAGTACAATAAAGAAGCATGTTGCCGTTTTTTTCTTTTTTTTTTTTTTTTATATACATATACGTCCTTCGTGTCACATTAAAAATCGACGATTCCGCAAGCTAAATTGTTCTTTCAGTGTCATCTTCCCTATCAACTGCAGATTAAATCGCGACGCATATTTGAAGCGTACTGTAAAAGAAAAACAAAACTCTGTAATATCTTCAAGGAAGATAGCAAAGAGAAATTGATATATGAAAATCAGATTACGCTACAGGATATATTGGATCAACTTCATTATTCAGATAATTAATGTACAAGATGTTAAAAAACGAAAGACTTACTTTCATGATTTTATTAAATATTTCAGTGTATGAATCGATATATATATTCTTAACAGATACGAAAATGAAAATCGTAGTTATATTCTCGAACCTGACGCGAATTGTACGCGAAGAAAAGAAAAAAAAAGAAAAAGAAAACGGAAACGTGCTTCGTCCAGTCAAAAAAAATCTCTGACTTCACACGTCAAGACACCGATGCTCTCGCCTTACGTCGATCCTCATACGCTCAAAACGTTTCGTCTCTCCTCGAAAGGGAGAGAGAAACAAGAAATACGAACGATTTACCCCTCTTCGCCTCTTTCTTTTTCGACTACCGTGTTCTTTTCTACGACTCGTCCTTTTACGACAAACGATCCGGCATTGGCAGGCAAAATTCTCGAGCCAGACGAAGAAACAACGCGACGAAACCCTTTCCCCGGGTGCAAGCGATTCGATCGAACGAGAGAAAGTGAGAGAATTAACGAATGTACATAATCAGCATGTCGCGAGGTCCGTGTAAATCGATTGTATTTTAAGTTCACTGTATAGGTGATTTCATATCAGAACTCCATATCGTCTAACTAACTCGTATGTATATACTACATAAAGTTTCGATCTGAATAAACTGTTTAACTGTCCGAACCGAACGTTGCTTTGAATCACCTTCCCCCCCACCCCCTAAGGCCATCCCGGCTCTGTGATACTTCTTTATATTCGACCGTCGAGATTACGCTCGAATTATTAAAACAGAGGCAACTTTGATATCTCCGAAACGTCAGAGGTTACAACAGCCGAATAAATGTATAGCAAAAACTGCGTTCGCTGCATAAATGCATATGTATGTATATCTGCGGCTGTAAGGACAAAAACGCCGCGCGTCACAATTTCGAAAAAATCTGCGTTTATTCGTCAACTGAATTGCAGATGACGAAAAAGTGCATGAAAACGAATATGGAGTTAGCGTTGAGAGAAAGCAAAGAGATATTACTATGATGTTATGAATTTTAATTGATTTTGATTCTGAAAGTGACGTAAAATTGAAAGATGATATCTCGCAAGTGAAAACGCGTAACATATTTTTCTGTACAACCATGCAGGTATACGAAAGTGAAATTATGACGTCTGATGGACTTGAAAAATCATATTTTTGAAAATTTACTTTCCGTGTAACGTTTTAACTTTTAATGTTAAATTTTAGTGTTATATTTTTGAAATAACTGTTCCCCTTAGGTTCGATTGACAGTTTCAACTGTATGTAAGTTACATTTCGATGTAAAGATTATTAAGGTATAGATTTTTAATTTTTAGTATACAATTAATATTCGAAAAAAACCTGAAGAAAAGCAACCTCACTCTCTATCGCGAAGGATTTCCCGATCGAGATTCCCGAACCAGTGAAGAGAGAAGAGAAATGTAATTCCACCTCTCGACTCGCGATCGTTAAAATGTCGTTTGGCATAATCCGAAATTTATAAAAGCTTAGAAAGAAGGGACACGCCGCGAGGGAATGGAAAGAAAAATTCAACTTAGGGATTGCGACGAGGGAGTTGACAAGATCGAATTTCCTGATTTGCCAGATCCTTCTTCGATTAACAGAGGGCCACGCTCCCTCCTCTTTTGGAACGATACGTTTCAACCTTATTTGCGTTTCAAACCATAGGTTCGCGCGAAAAGGGACGTTTTTGTTGCGAGGATAAATTCACGGTAAAATACAGAGAGAAAAGGAGCCAGAAATTTTACAGCACGATGGCAAGAGGTATCATAAAAATCGCTTAAAATGCAACCACTGTGAGAAATCCCTGGCGTACCCTCTAGTATCCCGGGGAAAAAATGGAAGCAACCTGTACCGAATTTTAATCTCTCCTTGTATCATATTTCGTGTGCTTACGTGAAACTCTACGTACGTATGTACGGTACGTACGGTACGATGGAAGAACATCTTGGAAACACCTTTATCGATGTCCTCGAACACACAACCACTGAGGATGTTTCACTGCAGTTATCTCTTTAAAGAGACAGACAACCCTAAGCTAAAAACAACTGAAAAGAAGCAAAGTTTCGCGAGTAATTTTTTCAGAGTGCGGATTTTCGTGTCGGAAATTTAAAATTGCAAAAATGCACAGAATGCTGATAATATGAAAATGTGTATAGTAAAGTATAGTGTTACATACGTAGGTTCATTTTCTTCTTTCTTAATTTTGTTCAGGAAAATGTGAGTAGTTTCTTGTCTGGTAATGAAATATCATAAACGTTGCAAATGTCGAATAATTGAAAACTCTGGATGCTTCGTGAATGTGATCTTTTTTCAGTTTTGTAGTTGAATTCTTTTACGTTGAAATGTTTAAAAAAAAAAAAAAAAACCCGGCAGATTCATTTACTAGTAGACCGCGGATTTTCATGCATTTTGAAATTTTTATGAAGATAACTATAAAAATGAATGCTAAGTACCTTGAATATTTTATACGTGTATTTTTGCATTTTATGCATTTAAACATTCTCTCATAAATGTATAAAAATCCTACATTCGAAATCTTATTTTGTCGCTACAAAATACGTGAAACATCTAAATATTTCTACTAATTTACAAAATTACGAATAATTTATTTCTTATAATTTACAAATAGAAATTTCTTTTTACTCTTTTCGGTATCTCAGTTATTCAATCATACATAGACATTTAAAATTGTTTTCTATGAGAATACCTCTTTCGATCTTAAATTTCCTATCATTTCTATAATAATTGAAATTGCTGAAGATTCGTATATATTTCTGTTTATGAATCAATAGAAATATTTTACTTAAAATGTTCCAGTTCCTCGCAGCGACACGAATAACTACTAAATAACTTCGTAACATTTTAACTTGGAAAAAATTCAAACGTAAAGCTAACAATCATATTTATGTATCTCAAAAACATTAGAATTTTTCACTTAATAATTACGGATAAAAAAAAATTCACAAAACTTTACTTATTTTTGAATGACTGAGGATGGCCTGACCCCTTAAACCTATTAAGGCCTAACATTCTATTCGTAATTCACAATCTACTCAATCTATTTTATTATAGTCTATTCACATTGAGAATTTCCTTTTTTTAATTAAAGCTATCGAAGGAAATTTTCAATATTCTCTCAATGTTTTCAATCATTGTGCCTTCCTCCTAAATGCGATAATTTCACGAAAAACTCTCAAAAAAAGTAAAACATTTGAAATTACTGCTTGATCCTTGATAGATTAAGAATAATATTTCCATTTTCCATAATAAAAAGCTGAGAACCAGTGTTTTATAATTTTATTCGCACATTAGGGTTTCTTAAATTCACGAGACGAAGACAAACGACACTATAACACGCAGATTTACTTTGTACGATGTCACAATATTTTTGGTGGCCTAAGCTAAATTTCCTCTTCGGTATTCGTCGAATCGTCGGACGATTTGACTCCAGATGGTTCGACCTCATCTGACTCGTCGACCAATATACTCTGAAGCTGCTTCCGTAGCATCGTTGACGTGTTCACAATGCAATTCATTATGGTAAACACCGCGTGATTGTACTTCTGTATCATCGTGTGCTTGAACTTGTTTACGCGAGGCAATTCGATCTGCGAACGCGTAACAATTTCTATGGATAGGTAGGGGAGCGTTTACAGTTGAAGGATCAATGGAAAACAGGAGGAACGTTGAATTTCAACGAAGATTTGTTTTTTAATACACATGTAATGCATTAATCCCTACGTAGGACCGTGGCTGGTCACAAAGAAATAAGAAAACTGATTTTCTAAATTGGACCATGCCTATTTTTCATCAAAGAATAAATGATTCTAAGAAGAATTTTACAACATAAATTAATTAATTCTAGAAAGAAAGAAAGAAAACTAATATTTCTAATCTTCTAAAATTTCAGCTTAAAAATACTCCTTTTCCAAAAAAAAAAAAAAAAAAACCATTCTCGATATGTGTCTTGGACAGGAGATATAACTTACCCTACTTTAAAAATCACACTCATAAAGTTCCAAAATTTACCTGTCGAACAAAAGTTAAAACTTATATAAATTAAAGGCAAAATTACACAAAAAGGTCGTCACTATGTAATTATTCTTATTTCTTGCACTCTACCATTTTCATGTCATTAAATATGACGTAAAATATGAACTACCTCCTACTAAAAGTTGTCACGTAAATCAACGTAAGTGTAAATAAAGACTATGGTCCAATTTAAGATCCAGTCCAAATTAGAGAACTTTTCTAAATGTAAAACTCAGAAAATTTCAATTCTCAATGCAAGCTGTGTGACAAAGAGTATACGAAAGGAGCATGCGAAAAACTCAAAATTCATCCCTCTATAAAATAATCCCCCTATTTCCCTATTGACCCTTCATTTGTCAAGCTTCGTTCGTCACGCGTTACTACTTCTTTCTGGTCAAGAGCGGGAACAATCGTGGCCACTATCCTGCGATACAGGTCCTCAACATCGGAGCTGCTTCCCCACAAACCCTCGTAATTCGTCCAGCAAAAGAGACCAGCGACAATGCCGCTCTTCAAGAGGAAGAGCAAAAACTTACATAATTTTTGACCCGGCGACTTCGGCAATGCCTTCTGAGGACAATCGCAGAGCTACGCAAAGGTACACACAACGTTACTACAATTTATGGCCTGGCTATCGTTCCTTCGGTAGAATAGTACGAAGTTTGCGTACGTGACTCGAAAGAATATCAATATTTGAAGGTTTTTAAGAACAAACGCCGGCTTCCGCGCTGTATTCTTGTATTTGCGTTGAGAATCGAGAGAGACCGGTGTGCTCGATTCTTGTTTGCTAACGCAGTGCGAATAAAATCGCGACGGTGAAAATCGAGGAAAAATAGAAATTAAAAAGTAATGAAAAACTCGCGAAAAGAAAATTGAGTTGATATTTCTAACTAAACGGATGTTAACCGGAATCCCGTGAATTTCGCCCTTGAATTTAATTTTTACTGCCAATGGAAAAAATAATTCGCAAGGCCAAACTGATGTGACGTAGATTCTACAAAATTATAAAAATTTAGTTTTGATAATTACAACATTGGAATCAAAAAAGGAAAGTGTTAACATATTCATAGACGACGATATATATAAGATATAAACGTGGTACGTGTATATGTGTGTGTGTGTATGTATATATACTTGGAATACCATTAATCTAAATACTATTCTGTGAAATATTACTATTTGAAATATAATTTTAATGGAATACTTATTGCCCAATACTATTTCCATATGTAACTACACACGTGAGAAAATAAAAATATTTATATTCTATTTACTATTTCTCCCCAGCCCTGGTATCTGACAATAACTCGAAAAGAAGAAAAAAAGATATTGTACATCTCGATTAGTTAAATTAGCTATAAATTCTTGTAGTTACTCGACTGAAGATTTGTAAATGGCGGAAAGCTACTACTTTGCCAATCCTAATTCCAATTACTCTATTCCGTTACTCTATCCTATCCCTAATAATTAATTCTAAGCTAATGCAAGCAAAAATTTCTGACTCGCGCGCTCGGAATTTTTCGCAAATTTTTCAAAAATGATATATATATATAGATCACAACAACGGATACGTCATTATTCGGCACTGAAAGGGTTAAGCAAACTGTCGCAGCAGGCAACGGGGAGAAAATGGAAAGCAGGCGTGCAAAGAAGCTTCTGAAAAAAAAAAGAGGAGAAAAAAAAAAGAAAGAAGAGGAGAAGATTTGTCGACGTTTACGAAACCCTCGAGAATATCCGGCTCTCTGTTCGACGAGTAGACCCTAGAGTCTGCTAAACGCGACGATGTTCTCGACCCGTGAGGTCACGTACGTACGTGTCCCTAACAAGTACGCGAACTCTAAACTGTCCTCCTCCATTAGAGACTCATCGGCCTCTCGCTATACCTGTGTACACCGAACTGTCGGGCTAATTCCAGGTAAACGTAACTACATATCGACCAACCAATTCCGGTTACAGGTGCCCAAGCACCGTCGTCGTCATCCGCCGCTGCCTAGACACGTCGATATCGCGCAACGACTCCAACTCCCGCGCCACGAGAACGCGTCCGCGTGGCTTAACGCCAAAGCTCTCCTGTTAACGTGTCGATTCAACCTCTGCACAGCTAACGGAATCTCATTAACGATAAATATATCCGGTTCGAGTGTGTACGCGCGCGCATTCGTCGTGTTCAAACGCACTCGCTGCCTTGTTTTTTTGATGAAGGAAATCGCGGTAAGGCAGACACAAGACGGAGTAAGATGGCCATCGTGTTATGTTATGTTTTGTGATTGCAATGATGCGATTTCCAGTCGCATCGTATTTGTACATAGTGGTGCAATCGGAACTGAAGATTTATTTACGTGAAAAAAATAAAGGAAAATTTATAAATAGGACAACATTTTTTCGAGAAAATCGAGAAAAATTGAAAATGCCCAGCCTGTATTTGAAATTTAAATCGCTTCGAATGCGATTCGATAGTCTCCTCAAAATCTTGGAAGTCTTGATCGTTTTGAACGTTTTGAAATTCTTGAGACATTTTACTTTTTGATCAGATCATTTAAATTAATATAATTTTTCACTTCACTTTTCAATTAAATTAGATTAGATAACTTTAATTTAAACAACGTACACGCTACCATTGTACTAAACTCTATTGCAAATCTCAAGACTTTTCAGACGTTCGAGAATTTCATATTTATTATTATTATTCAATCGTAGCCCAATAATAAGATGAACGATTTACTCACAAATTAATTTTTACTTCTAAAATGCTAAAAATACTATCTTTTTAATAAAAAAAAAAAAAAAGTTACACTTGTTTTCGTTTAGCGTGGCCATCTTACCCCTACGTTCCCTAGCAAACAATCGTTCGGTTCACCTTTGGCGGACAAGTTCTTTGCATGTCTTTCCGCGTGCAGATTTTAATGGGGACCGGCCTCGGCGTCCAGTAAGACGAACCTGAAGGACAAGGCTGCATCACTTCCGCCTGAACGAGCTTCTGAATCCTCTTCGGTCTTATGCATGTCTCCGGATTGGACAAGTTGATTGTCTGTGCTACACACTTCGTTCCTCTTTTCATCGTTCCTTTTAGTTTTCGATGCAGCTTCCTTCCTTCCGATACTTCATCGAGACGAGAAATGATCTGCCAGAAATTGGAAGTCGAACGACAAAAGATCTTTCAATAGACCCCAGCCCTACGCTCTGCGCCGAAGCACGACTATCAACCCTCTTAGTGCCTTACAAGTTTTCCGTGTAGCATTGTACGTGAAAATTAAAATCGTTGATTGAATAGATCTTCTCGAGCCGAAATTCGACAAGATGTTTCTTTCTCAGTGGAAAGTATTTTTCATTTTAGAAAAATAAAGTGTCATTAGTAGACTGCATTATGGTTATTATGCATTTATGGGATATTTAAAGGCGTAAAAATAAGCAAGAATACAAAGTACTCTATTCTATATTTTCTAATTAGCATGGAAATAAGACGATGTGTAGAATCAAATTCTCTCACACGACGCTTCGTTTTCAAGAAAATAGACTTTGAATTAAATTATAATAATACCAAAGTGAACGAGAAATGATTAATCGATAGAAAGTTATAGAAAAATTTTATTCTGCGTCTTATTTAAGAAAATAAAATTTCAAAGTCTATCAAGGCAATTTTAAACATAAACGAAGCTTTAAGCCTATTCTTCTCTATTCAGTTTCTACTGTAGAATCATTCTTTTCTCAGTTGAATTACGAGTAATTCCATAATAGATATTAGCAGAGAGAACAATTTTTGTTGTTGTGTAAAAATAGCTAGATTCTTCTTCTTCCTAAGTTACATTTACAAAAATATAAATTTTTATAAAAATCTATAGTCGTTATACGTGTTAAAATTGTAAAAAAAAAAAAAAAAAAGACATATCGGCTCAAGATATTTGTCGGAAAAATCACAAAACTGATACCTATATCGGCTCTTGGACGATAAGAGGGTTAAACAACGTGGGCTAGAAAATTCCTCAGGTACGTTGCGTGAACATTTTTCTTAACCGCGATTCCTCCGCGATTTCGTTTACAAAGTTACAAAATTTCCAAAGGATTCACTTTGCATCGCATAACCTCGAAACTTACGACGTTACGAATTTATCGAGGGAGATGGTTGACAACGCAAAGTACTTTGCGTACACCACGGAAGAATTTTCTTTAATGGTTTGCCGAACGTGATTATTCCAAGCTTCCTAAATATTCGTCGTGTTTCTAATCAGTACATGTCGCACGAATTTTGACCCATATACGAACGGGGAAACTTCATGATCGTCTTTATCTATCGATTCGTCGCGAACTTTAGCTCGATACTAATTGCTGCAACTTCGCGAACGATGCTCTCTGAAAACGAATCCTTTCGCTACGACGATTCATACTGTCAGTGGAATTATTTATTCATTTCAAATTAATTAAAAAAGAAAATTATTTGAGAGTAATATGTACGTGTCTCTGTAGATTTTGATTATAGTATCAATTTTTCAAAGAACACTCCATGAAACATTACAAAATGTATACGTGTATAAATAATATTTAAAAAAAAAGAGAAAGTGAATGAATCTAATAAACGAATAATTTTGAATTTTATCTCTTTATCAACGCACATAATATATATACACACACACACAAATGTGCTTCCGTTGCAAGTGTTCAAACAGCACTTTCAAATACATATTCGGTGTACACGTGTCCAACCGTGAATTTTAATCTGTGAAAGCACAGCGCTGTTCGACTCGCGTCGGCAAAGGAATCTTTGTATCGTTTGATCAACTATCAAGAAGAGGATAGAACTCGTGAGAAGGAGAAACGGGGGGGAGGGAAAGGGGGAGGGGTCTGCCGCGGAGGGAACGTCGCAGATAGAGAACCCCTCGCGACGTGTACGAAAGGTGGTGTTATAAAGGCCGCTCAGTCAAGTTTCGCTCGCGAAATCCACGTTTCGGTTCTTCCTCCTTTCGTCGCTGATAACAAAGAAGTTACAAAAGAGGTGAGATTACAGCGGCACAGGAACGAAAGAGAAACACGTGGGTGAGAAAGAGCGAGAGCAGGCGACTGTAAGGGGTCCCTTGGTTGCTTGATGAAACGCAGTTTTCCAACGTGAGATCCCACCAGCAACAGCAACGCCGTCAATTTCCCGTTGCTACGCGTTCGCCACGAGCGAACCACGGCAACCTCCAGCGATTCTTTATTCATCAACGCCATTGGAAAAATTCGTGAAATTTGCATCTGACGAGCTCGTGCATTCTTTATGTTTATCCGCCCCACGCTGGCTGGCCTACATTCCCGTTAATAAGTATCGGAACGCTTTCTGGTTTTCGTATGAAAAACGCGATGAATAATTAATTTCAATTATCGATTACTTAAGAATTAATCTATTCAGGACCGGAGTATAGTTTATCGCAATCCTTCGGAATCTCTTGAAATTCCTTTCTCGCGGTCTCAACGTTCGGATCCAGAACTTCGTAATGTGAATTAATCAAGAGAAAAATTGCAAATAACGCAACATCGGCCCTGAGAAGTTATCGCACCTACAGATGAGATTATAATGTTGAATTTTTCTTTACATATCGTAACATGATATTACGTTACGTTGAATACGTATTTTTATCTATAGTTTCGAATCAGACAACAATACTTAAATAGCCTTCAAATCATCCCCCCCCCCCCCGTTTTTTGAAAATGTCCCAACACTTACGAACGTCAACGTATGTATATATCCTGCCTCGTTTCCTAAACGATGAACTCTTTCTCGCCGTGGATCGCGCCATCCTCGCTTCAATTTCTTATCGCGCGAACACCTTTCTATCCGTGAAAGTCGAGCCATCAGGCTCGAACGCGTACGCGTGGTACGTCCCTTCGAAAAATGAGTTAGAGTCTACGGGCAAGCGGAAGAAAAACGACGCGCGAACGTAACCGCGATGCGTAATAAATACGTCGGTGACGTTAAAATAGTAGCGCGTCGTACAAGAGTAACCGAAGGAAGACGTTTGACATCCGACGGCCGTTAAAAAACCGACTCGTGGGAAATTTGTTCGCGGTCGCGAGCGGTTTGTATCAGCCGCTGTTCGCTCTCACCGATCCACCGTTATTCGACGGACATACATCACTTTTATCGCGAGATTCCACCGGCCCGATATGCTTATTAATAGACACCCGGCACTCTTGGTGCTCGCACGAAAAATATGGTACTTAAACGGTGGAATTCTTGCTGAAGAAAAAAAAAAAAAAGAAGAGAAAGCAAGAACGAGGAAGGAGAAAGGGGCATGAGAAAAACGAGCACGAGCACGAAGGAAGGGGGAAAAAAAGAAAAAGCAGAGGAAGGTACGAAATGAAAAGGTCGATCGCGACGCAGGCTGGGCTATCTTGCCCCACAATAAATGCATTCGTTCCGGATCGATGGGGCAAATAAATCAAACGTTAATAAATCAACTTTAACATTCCGAGCGTCTCTCGTTCTATAGCCGTTATGCCCCCGCTCGATAAAAAGAAATCGAGACAGAATCGCGTCAAACATCGTCATCGATAAACCGAATGGAATTGCCGATTGATCAAATTTGCTCGATAAGCACGACCTTTTGTCCATCGCGTCTATTGGCGGCTCGATAAATTTGACAGGAAAATAGTTAACGAGATCCCCTCTTTTTCTCCGTGAAAAACTATATTCAACTATAACGATGTAAATTTCGAATTACGTTAACGCAGAAAGAAAAAGATCTTGTCTTTATGTCCAGCGGCTGGAAGTTTCTGTTTCATGTGTGGTGTAATTTTTAATACTCGAGAACACAGTGTATTTTTGTTTTACGGATAACGATATATATTTCTACTACACAGTATCTACGTGTATTTAAACACAGAGCTCGAAAATCTTAGAGCAAATACTATACTTGTTTCGAAACTAGAAATATTAAATGACTCTTTGCACAAGAAATCTGTAGCGTTTATACATTATAAAATGTTCGTGATACTTAAAAATTTTATTACCTACAATAAGTATGGAATACTAAAAATAAAAACTGCACTAAGATTTTTGACTATTGAAAACAAAAGAAATCTCGATCTCGGTTAATCCCTTGATTTATAATATCGAGTTGTACTCGTGGTATAAATTAAGGTCTCGAATTTAAAAGAATTCTAAATTAATTTCAATAAGTAATGCTTGCTCCTTAAAATTGAAAAGAAAATACGTAAGGCAAGGAGTTAAGAGAACATTTCCTGCAAAATGTTGAAACGTATCTAGGAGTTTGATAAAAGAAATTCAATTTTCTTGCTCTAGAAATGTCCAAAGTTGACCCTTTCAAAATATACTATACACAAAATAGATTTTCTCTTTTTACGTTAGTCCAAGTTACATTCCTTTGACATTATCTTTTCGAAAAAGTTCAGTAAGCTTTGCGAAAACTCGTTGAAAATATTGTGTACGTAACTGAACTATTGTGACTTTCAATTAAATAAGATATCTGTGAAATTCCTTTTGTTTTGTTTTGTGTTTCATTTCCTACAGTCGATTGAAAAAAAATTGTATCATTTCTTTTCCTTCCCTGAACTGAAAGGATTGGATCCCTCATTCTTTAATACAAGTTTCACGCGCCACGTGTACACGTTTAAAACCGCGATCTCCACTATCGACGTTCCCCCCGAAAAGGGGAAAATTCACCGGTCGAATGCACGCTCGTCGGTCTGGAAATTTCCTCGCTGCGAAAAGAAACATGGGAACGCCATGGTTTCAGGGGGGCAAAAAGGTGACGTTACGGAAGGCACAGGCGGTTCCTCGTTAAAGAAAAGTTCGAGATACACCGACGAAATGGTAGCCGGATACGGCGAGGGCAAGAAAGAGTGGAAAACCGGAACGAAACGTAAAAACGATGGAGGAAAAAAGAACGCGGAAGGGAGAGAAACGGGCGAGTTTCGGAGCTCTTCAAGACCTCTGGTAATTAGGTCGGCGAAAGAAGTAAAAGTCAGGCCATAACTCGACGAATAATTAATTTATAATTAAGAGGCGCCGTGTAATTCGAGGAATCTGTAGGAAACCGTGAAAGACTTGAAAAAAAAAAATAAAAA